GGATGGGAAGAATGTGCTGCCATCTGAAATGTAGTTTTCCTCTCCAGCTTGCACACTATATGGAAATATTTAATTTTAGCTGATGCTAAGCAAGATTTTCCTTATTTTCCTTCCATGTATGCAGCTGTCCAATCCTGACTCAGTAGTGGCCGTTATCATCAATATCATTTTTTTTAAGACCATCCCCCTGTTGTGATGGTATTCAATAGGCGCATTCACACCGCAGTACTTTTCCCACAAAGGTTCATGAGAACTTAGTTCATGAGAACTCTTTAGTTCTCATGAACTAAGTACAGATCGCGTTCACACCGGAATAAGTTCCTGGGGAAGGATTAGGCAAATGAAGCCGCTGACGTCACTTCTTCTTCTTCTGCTTTGGGTTTACTGGCAGGCCGCAAACAACTTCACGGCGTATACTGCCGCCCGGAGTCCCCGGCCGGAAGTCCCCGGAGTTGGGGACTGGCTTCAGTAGAAGCTGCTGAGACTCCCAGCAGCTTCTACTGAAGCCTTCCGAGTAAATCGCCAGAACGCCGACACCTCCTCATCTCCACCGCTCCCATGTTTTCTTTTGTGTTGCCATAAGTTAGTCTCTTTGCGTTTGTGCACTGGGCTAATGCTAATGCTAATGCGAGGATAATAAAATGGCGGCTTCACAAAACTTTTTGGGAGTTTTACGGGGCGTGGTTTGCATTTCCGCCCAGCCAATCAGACATAGGAACCTTTTTCTCCCACGAAAGTCCCTGCTCTCTAGCAGGGACGGAAAAGGGGGTAAAAAAGGTTCTGATTAACTAATTTTAGTTCCGGCTCTTTTTGGTGTGAACGCGACATTTCGGAACTATATCGGAACTAAAGTGGGAAAAGTACTGCGGTGTGAACGCGGCTAATTCTTAAAGTGTTCCTTCTCAAAGGAAGCACCAAACATAATGTATGTCCTCAGCGTTAGAATGGCTCTAAAACTTAACATTCGGGCCTGAAGCCTCTCCTGGTTCAGACTGATTGAAAGGTGACACATTCTCAGACTCATTGTCTTATCCCTACAGCACACAAATCAAAAAATATAAGGATATACAGAACAAAAGTACATCTACGTGTCTCACATTTTTCATTTCCTTTCAATTCTCTTTTCAAAAGATTCACTAGAGATAGCTCTAACATCCAATATTCTTCTAATAAATGTCGTTGAGGAAAAACGCTCACAAAGAAAATTGGCTTGGTCTCAAAGGAGGCGTTATGAATGTGAGAGATGTATTCATATTTGTGGGGTTCTGCCGAGCTGACATAAAAAGTCCCTGTGGGAGCAGATGCACTCTGGGTCCTTGAGGTGCCCAGGAGCAGTCTGCCTCTGCTTATTGAACTAGAAATAATTCAATATGCAGACATCCTGGAGCTCAGGGATAACATCAATGTGCTAGATCATTGGTTTTAGGCTAACATGCATACATCTGTTTATACACGCTTGAAAACATGTAAAACTACAAAAAAAGGTGTGTTTCTGCGGGTTGTTTTTGCAAAGTTATTATGAGCAAAAAGGAGATGAACAATTCTGAATGAAGATAGAAAGATTCACCTTTTTTTGGTCACTTGGGAAGGGTTCAGAATCCAGGACCGGTTCCTATAGATTGTCTTTGCATGCCTCTGTGACCATTGATTTCTCCTATTAATACTGTCTGACAGTTTAAAAGTTGAAATGCCTCATTACATTTTTTTTCAATTATTTTTTTTTTTTAAATGTTACATGTATTTTTCTTCATCCCATGTTCAGCCTTAATTGGTTAGAAAGTCATTCATGTTCTCACTTACAATTTTTTTCATCACGAACAATGTTTATTTAAATAAAAAGCTTCAATAAGAAATGTTGACATAGTGTTATGTTTTTGCTCAAAATGAATCTGAACCTCAAGGTTAATTTGTATAAAAAATAACATTTGCCAAAAAAAAACTCTTTAAAAAATGGTTTTGACAATTGCCTTTCTTTCAGAACACCTTTTTGAAGGGTGTTTTCAATCGAACTCTTTAAATAAAAGGTCAAGGATGGTGAACAGGGAGATGAACAAGAAATGCTGAACAAACGACAAATCTCCCAGCTCTCTTAGCTCCTTCCCCAACTCTCATTCTCTTCCGCTGCTGGAGTTTGTTTGATGAGGCCTCTCACTGGGTTTTGAAAATGATGTCTTCTCTCCAGCTTCTCATATCAGATTAATTAGTGAGATGATAGAAAAAAAAACAATCTAATGGAAGTATCCGTTCATCCCTGGCGTATGCTGCACACGTTTGTTGGCAAATTAAATCTGAAGTGGTTTATATTGAATGTGATTATTACATTTTTCCAAAAGCTGTTTTATGGCACAAGCGGCCTCAAAGACTGAGTTTTACATTTTCTTCACTGAATGCATTAGTTTTGTTGTGTTTGTTTGGACATCAGTTTAAAATTCACAGTCAAATACATGTTGAAACACAGGAAAAGGTTTGTAGAAAAGCAGCTGTAGATTAGGGTGCAGTTACATTTGACTGCATGTGCATATGCAGATGTACTTAGATGGACATATGTATTACTTTGCCGTGCCATGTATTGATTCACTGAGCCATTAGAGCAACTGCTTGGGTGTCCAAACCAACATGTGAACATACAAAGAGACAGAAAAACAATATCATGTCAATCCAACTTCCACATGAGGTAGAGGAAGATACAGTTGCTTGAATAGAGAGGATGCGGTCGGATGTATTTATCAGTCTGTGTGGCTCCATAGAGCAGCGAAAGGGATTCTGCTGTGCAGATCAGCTTCTCGTAACTCCTCTGTCTCTGACCTCAGGCTTGTTCCTGCCATAACTCTCCTCATTACAGCCTTAATGGGCCAATCAACAGCGTTACGGGCCGAAGGCACACTCCTCTCCTCTTCACAGTCTTGCAGTGCTGTAGCGCTCGCTCCCCTCCTTCTCTGTAATACTCTGTCTTTGTTACCCAACCACCCTATGTCTGTATCTGATACTCTCTGCATCCACATTCCCCATTGCATGTGTATATGAGGTATTCATCCTAATGTGTATGCTGATAGTGATGAGTTTTTGTATGTCAATGACAGGCCTTTGTTTATAGGAAATGTTTGTTTTGTGTTCATTTAGTTTATGCCTGCTCTTGATTCCTTTTGTATGTGTGCATAAATAGTGTCTTTGACAATATGTGAGTTTGTTGTACAGATGTACTAGAGTGCTCACTTTTCTAATTATAATGCTCACCAATGTATGTTTTTCATAATTTTAGATCTGTCATTTTAGAAATAACTTACCTGGTGGGCCTATACATTTTAAAACCCTGGACCTTGTCACAAAATGCATTGTCATTAAGCTCAACAGAAAGCTGTTTTCTTAAATAAATGTGTTTTTAGACTACAGGCAGGCTATGCATAGTTACAAATAATAGACCATAAAATGTTCACACTGCATATCCTAAGATCAGTTATGTTTGACATTGTGGCCAATATCAATCCAATACCACTCTAAAAACGAATTCTTCTAAATTGGCGTCCATGTGTATGGTGTCATTACATATCCACTCATTCATGCTGTGGCAGGACATTTAAAATGCTCTTTGCTTTCGCACTGCAGCCACCGATCATTACAACAGATTTGTGTCACATAAGGACAAAACACAGATTTCACTTGCAGAGTGAAGTTTGCAGTCTCTTCTTTTGGTTTTAAAATGCAGATTAGCAAGATCAGCGACTCCTAACAATGTGGTGTGATTGTTTTTGTGTAAGAGCGTAGGTGTTTGTGTGTCTCTGTCTCAGTTTATTTTGGGACAAATAGACCGTGTGAAATGTGTTTAGAAGGTGAGGTAGAGAGGATCAATAATGGTGATGAGTCGGGCCAAAAAACACATCACTGTAATCACCCGGACCTTAAGGTGTGTGTGTGTGTGTGTGTGTGTGTGTGTGTGTGTGTGTGTGTGTGTGTGTGTGTGTGTGTGTGTGTGTGTGTGTGTGTGTGTGTGTGTGTGTGTGTGTTGTGTGTGTGTGTGTGTGTGTGTGTGTGTGTGTGTGTGTGTGTGTGTGTGTGTGTTGTGTGTGTGTGGTGTGTGTGTGTGTGTGTGTGTGTGTGTGTGTGTGTGTGTGTGTGTGTGTGTGTGTGTTGTGTGTGTGTGTGTGTGTGTGTGTGTGTGTGTGTGTGTGTGTGTGTGTGTGTGATTTGTGTTATGTGATGGTGTGTGTGTGTGTGTGTGTGTGTGTGTGTGTGTGTGTGTGTGTGTGTGTGTGGTGTGTGTCGTGGGTGTGGTGTGTGTTGTGTGGGTGTGTGTGTGCTGTGGCTGTAAGTGTGGTGTGTGTGTGTGTGTGTGTGTGTGTCAATTACACTGATATGTGTTTATTAAAACTTTCCGCTCAACAGCCAACCCTTTTACCTTATACATGTTTATGCCAAAGGCAAGTTTACAGGAAGTACTTTGAATCACGGGATATTCCGATATGGACTGCCCGTTACAGGGCGGCGCCGTTTGCAAGTCAATCAGGTACATTTATAATCTGGCTGCAAGCTTGTGCCCAGCAAGGAAGGGTATCAAAGGTTGGAAATTACATTTTAGCTAGTTTCCAGATTAGAATCAGGCATCAGTGCACAGAAGCCGGTCCAAGTACAATTTGCAGGATAAGAGGATGACCCCACCCCAGCCACATAACACTGATAGCATTTTCATTTTGTTTTTAAACCTGTCATGGAACATCATAAATTGAGCACTACATTTACCGTTTAAAATGCAAATGGAAAGACACACCCTATCTGTAAATCAAAGAGAGACCTTCAGATATTCTGCAGTGAATAGAGGGGAGTACCTTGATCTCTGATATATGAGGTAATTTGTTTTTCAAACAAACCTACCTGAGAAGTGTGAACTTCCATTCGCAAATGTTGGTGCTTAGTTTTAAACAACTTTTAGTGTAGATGCTGCCTTATAATCAAAAATAACCATCAGACAAATCAGGTTTGTCTCTTGTTTCTTTTGTTTCCTCTAGGATCCATGCAGGGAGAGCACCAGAGGAAGCTGTACAAGGAGCTGCTGGCTAACTACAACCGGCTGGAGAGACCGGTGGTCAATGACTCCGCCCCCATCCTGGTGGAGCTGGGCCTCACACTGCTGCAGATCATAGACGTGGTGAGGGAGACAGCTTTTACTTCTCTTCTATATGTGATGTGTGTTTGTTAGTGGCAGGGTGTCTAGTTTCGGTAGTGTTTAGTTTCGGTAGTGTAGAATGTTGGAAACGTGACAATATACAACGTTTGTGTTTTGTTGAGCATACAGTTTGTTGCTTAATTGAAAGCTGAAGTGAAATTGTACCACTACGCTGGTGACTTATTTACATCGGAGGTATTTAGAGTGTCTTTACATATCGGAAACTGTAAAAATACCTAAAAACCGCTCAGTCATCTCATTGTCGACATTGGAATCTTAGTAAAATAATATTCCTGTCTATAAATAATAATGCATGATGAAGAAATGCCAAGTAAAGAGCCCCACTAAAAAGGAGATAACATGCTTGAAAAAAAAGAGTCACTAATTGAGTAGTATAAGTGCTAATAGAGAAGTAAGAAAAACAGGTGTTTGAAGCTTAAGGAATGAATGAACAGTGATACATCCAAAGGTAGATTAGGTTTATAGAATAGTGATAAATGTTTGCCGAAGTAATGCACTCCTGAACCTCTAAAGTTGGCTGAGCCTAGCTGATTTTTTGGCTGCTCCTCCAAAGCAGATTGTAGTCAGGTTGCATCCAGACCACTGGTATCCCTTCATGAAAAGGCGCATGGCTAACGCTAGCGCCCATCAATCCAGCATTAGTACCACCAAATGATGCTCCAGCAGAATAAAGGCAGGTTTCTACAGTATTGTCAACATTTTTGACTTGGCTCAACTTTTGAGCCAGCTGCCAGTTAGGCTGCAAAAGCACGGTGTGGTGTATCACATGCCTGCAAGCAAACAATCCTGGTAGATAACTTTGTAGCATGAATGACATATTTGTGCTGTTTACCTCATCTATTAATGTGTTCAAAGGCTTGCTGCTGTGATTACCTTTCCCGAGTTGTAAAATCTTGATTGTGAGGTTGTATTGTTTTGCCATACGATGAGCCTTAACCACAGGAATATGTTACTGAAAAACAGTTCCTAGATGTCTCAACAGTACCCTGACATAATTCAACGCAGTCCATAACATAATTTTATTGCAGTGATGTTTTCTGTCTGAAGTGTTTGCTCTTTAAGATTAGTTGCTGATAGAAGCATTAACTTTGCTTACTGTAATAAGAGGTGTCAAACTAGGAGCCACTGTACTGACACAGTGTTGTGTTTATCTGAGTCTGGGCACCCTGACACATTCCCAGTTATCACAATATACTATTCCTTTCTCTCTGCAGCCCATGACCCAGAAATCGTTCCTGATCCACAATCTTTGATGAATTTTCAAACCTTAAAAATGTGGTTCAGCGTAGCAGTAGGACTCATTAACCACCAGAGAGGATCAAAAACCTGCAAGACACTTCACTAGCTGCATGTACATTTTTACATCAGCCCGTCCGTGAAGTAACTTTAGGGAAAGTGTTAGCATGGTCTCTGAGTATCATACCAGCCAGATGTTTGCTGTCAGAACAGATGGATCTACAATTTCATTGGGAGAGTTTTTCTCCCACGGGGTCTCCTCATTTTCACAGAGGGGTAATTTAGGAATGTTTAACAGAGACGAGAAGTGAAAAAATAACTTAATTTACAAACTCTGGTTATGTGGCCATCATACTGTAGGAGGAGGATGGTGCAAAAGCTATCTGCATGTCCCATGACTGGTTGGGAAAATAAGTTAGGGGGTAAAATGACAGTTATTATTGTCACTCACACTTTGAGCAGGGCGCTTACCAACAGTACGTAAATACTTATATTGGGAACACTGGGACTGAACAAGAAAGCTCATTCAACCTTGCCAGAGGGACTGCATTTAAGTTAAAAAGAGATTTCCTTTAAAACACCTTTCAACCCACATCCAACAATAAACCTACATTTTTTCCCTAGCCCCCAGACAATTTAATAACTAGGTAACTTGTTGCTCGGAGATAAGATGTTGTGATTTTTAAACAACAAAATAGAAAGATTTGTATCTACCTGAAAATAATTTGCAACAGTATGTGGGATTGCTTCAATAATGTAGTGGTAACTGATGGTTTGAGACCCAGAGGTCAGCTAGTACACTATAACCTTAATGTTCAGTTGTCATGGGAACACCGACGTTCAACTCATTTATTCATCAGCTTTGAAGTAAAGCTTCAGCGACCCTTTAGCGGCTGGATTTCCAGGGAAAGAATCGACCACGACGGGAGGTAGAGTTGCAAACCATGGTGACTTTTATTTATCAAACGCCACAAGAGAACAGACAGCCAGCATGTAGGTGTTCACCACTCTCTGTACATGTTCACCGCCCTCTCTCCGACTGAAGACTGGCACATTTATAGAGGATCTTCCAAGGATGTAATTGGGAGAAACCATTCACAGGTGATAATAATAAATACACATATCATCACAATTGCCATAAAGAACATCCACCATATTATGTTCATAGCATAATTAGTTGTCCATAGCCATCTGCTAAGTTAACCCCAAAACAAACATTACAACTGACCAGAATAAATATAAATGAACTCCCATCTAGATAGGCACAAGACCCCTGTGCCTATCTCGCCACTTGGTTCGTCCCGGAACCTTCTCTGGTCAGTGTTTGTTCCCCCCCGAGGACCTTTTGGCCGAACACACTGTAGCGGACACAGGACGAGACAGCTAGTGATGGGCAAATGAAGCTTTGAATGAAGCATCGAACCACTTGGACAATTGTTTCGAAATAGGTTAATTTCTCGAAGCTTCAGTTACAGCGACCTCTCCTGGCGAAGTGCAAGGCTGCAGTGGGTTTAACATATCTTTGCCTTGAAAAATATTCGATGCACACACACACACTAGCCTCATCTCAATACCCCTCCTCGACTCCTCCTTTCCCTCACTCGCGTCCCTTCCTTGCGTCTTAGCTCCGCCTCCGTAAGATGCGAGCGAGAGACACGAGGAGGTGACGCGAGGACAGAGGAGTCCTCAGGTATTAATTGGGATGTCCTCGTTCACTCAAACGTCACTCTTAAACGACGTCTGTTAATGATGACATGTGCACAGCTGTATCCCCTCTCATCGGGCTTAACTGAATAACCCTTTAGAACTGGCCCATTTATTGTTAAATATGTATTTAAATGATGAATCTTTCTCTTGTTAGTCAAGGAATTCAATGTATGATGGTTGGTCCTGCTTTTGTGTTCCGTTTTGGTGTAAAATGTACATTTCAATAAAATTATAATTATAATAATGTGAAAGCCTTTACTCTGAACACGTGTGTCCTGTAGATCCCCACATTCACCACAAACCCACATTCAGGACTGTGCATTTTAAATAATTTAACTACTCAATATTTTAACACAAAACAAAACAAATAATTGTTATTTATCAAGATCTAGCCATTTATGAAATAGCTTTCTTAATAGCTATGTTTTAGTGACGTTCAAGATCATTAAACATGACTTAAATTGTTAGTAGGCTATAACCTTAAGAAATGAATTGCACATAATAATTCCCACGGAGCTGTGAGCACTTATACATTTATGTGACGCTTTTCCACTCATTCTTCCAGTTCTCCGTTTTCCTCTCTTGAAATCGACCAGCTGTGAAGGTGGGGGCGGGGCTTTTATACGCGAGTAGTGAAAACACTTCCGCGTAGTCTGCTCTCGTGTATCCTCCCTTTCGTCTCCTCCCGCACCCCTCCTCCCTCACCCCTCCTCGACTCCTCCGTGTGCATTTCAGCTATTGGGACGTCCTTCAAAATGGCGTGTCTTGATCGATTTCCGGGTCAAGTCCCGGAGGAGGGGAAGAGAGGAGTCGAGGAGGGGTATTGAGATGAGGCTTAAGACTGAATATCATGTTCTATTTGCAATTAAAGATTGATAATTGTTTGTATTGGGTTATTGAGAAAAGAGTGCTGGAAAATGTGGCATTGGTTGGGTGTGCTTGTGTAATTATGGCAGGGGGTGATTATGTGGGATGGGGAACACTCAAAGATCTTTATTGAGGTACATTATTCTTTTTATTTTGGATTTTTCTAAAGGCATTGTTTTGGCCGGAGAGGGCCTTTTTATCAGTTATAGTATTAAAGTTGAAAAGCGGGCAATGATTAAAAGTTCATCCATACCAGGATTTGAACCAGTTACACAGAGGATGTCGCCGCCTTCTGGGCTGCCGGCTCTATTCACTGGGCCGCCGGCTCTATTCACTGGGCTATCTATTCTTTAAACTGTTGACCTTTTTTTTTAATACTCATTGTCTTTTTCTTCACAACTTCTCCACATTTTGAAGTGTTTCCCGAGCCAGAACGACCTATCTTTCTTCCTGGCTTGCTCTATAACAGGGCTTCTCAAACTCCGGACCGAACTGCAAATCAATCCGGACCAAACCCTGTGTCCCATTATAACAAAAAAAAAAAAAAAAAAAAAATTCTGATTCTGATAAATTAATGTACATCATCATGTACGTGCGTCTTGTGTCTGACGCGTTGTGAGAATGAACGTGCATATATATTTACTTGTGTGCGCGAGCGTGACACGCATAGCAGACCGCACCGCAAGTTTACCTTGACATACTGTATGTATGTATTGAATGTGTGTGTGCATACAGGGGCGCCGTTTACCGACAGGCAAGGCAGGCAAGGCAGGCAAGGCAGGCAAGTGCTTGGACCAGAAGGGGGCCCCCAAAGAAGGTAGATTAAGAAGGTCCACAGCAACGACAAAATGAAACACCCTTTAATTTACTGCAACGACTTGTCGGGAAACTCCATGCATAGAGCGCCAAAAAACTGCTTCTTAATTTCAGTTTCGTTTCTCCGCTCGGGGGGGGGACTTTACTGGCATTGATCCGGACCAGTGACCTTGTATAAAGTTCACAACTGGACCTTTAATAAAAAAGTTTGAGTACCCCTGCTCTATAATGATCCAATACAAATGCAATACCAACAACAAGTCACAGCAATAACGCAAACTACGACAACAACCCACACATTGCGCATTGTTTAGAGCGGTTATAAAGTGTTGAAGCGCTCAAATTAGAAACTGTTTCAACCTGTCACCTGTCAGAATCGAGACGAGGCAGTGCATTGAATCACCTGATTGGACGGCGAACCAGTGAGTTGATTCATTCAGGAAATGAAGCAGTTGCTGCTTCGGACATCATATGTCACGTGATTTGAAGCACTGCTTCTATAGAATAGGAAAACCAGGGTTTGAAGCACGTATCGAAGCTTCAGTGTCAAACTGCCATCACTAGAGACAGCATGGGTAAGTGATAGATGTAAACTTTACATAGTGTTCACTTATACAATTAATGCAACTTTAACGTCATGATATATACACGCTCAAACATATTATTGCACACAATGATTAATCTGCTGAGGGGGCTGCAGCACCCCCATCTGCGAGGCTCCACTAGCACCCGCACCCCCAAACGCGGTGCACCTACAGTGTAAGTGCGCCACAGTTTAGCCGCTGCGAGGCTCCACTAGCACCCCCCCCCCCCCCCAGCGCGTCACAGTTTAGCCGCAGAGAGAGTGTGTGTGCGTGTGAGGAGCTCCACGGTTGGACCAATGGGTCCATTTGGGTATGGGCACGTCACCATACCCAGGAAGAAAAAGATACATCTCCAACGAGGCGTTCTGGGGCAGCATAGGCAGCATCTCACTTCGGTTAAATGAGATCCTTGCGTCCCTCACTTGCGTCGTTTCCCTGCGTTTAGTCCCTCCCACGAGGGAAGCATGGAGAGACGCAAGGAAACCACGAGAAGCAGGGAAATTAGTTTTAATAGCAATGGGACGTCCTTTCCTCCGGAGCGTCACGTGAAGCGACGTCCGTTTGTGATGACTCCGCACAGCTGATCGTCTGACAGCAGCCAGCTCTGTCCCCGTTTTTTTCACAAACACCCCTGCCTCTGTTAGTACACATTTACTGACATAAACATTTGTATCATCTGTTGTAGACCCAAATAAATAAAATAAAATAACTCATTCTCAAAAAAGATAAACGCCATTCTTAAAATGTATAAACGAACAATAGTTTGATTAATATTGATTAGAGTGCACAATATAAATAAAATAATTGAGAGAAGAAAAAGAGATATGTTATCTATCAAAACCCAGTTAGATTAACATTAATTGGATTGCACACGTTGTTTGTTTGTGTGGATATGTAGCAAATCAACATTTTAAATAGCACTTAATGACTGACTGAATGGAAATGACAATAAATGAAAATGTAAAACGGAAAAAGCGATCATGAAAATGTTTCCAATTAATGAATAAAATGATTTTTGACCACTTTGTTGTTCAGATATATCACATATTTGTAACTAAATGATACATTAATTGAAACAAAACACAGTATAAACTGAGGAGTGAGTCCCGTGAGTTTCATGTGTTTTCTTCACTCCGCTGGGAAACTGCTCTCATGTCAAGAATCAACAGATCAGTGCATGCGCTGCATCGTCCAATCAGTGAGCGATACACAGTACAAACGCAGACCGTTTACATGCATACAAACCTTCATAACACACAAGGGGACGGGTAACCGGAAAAGCATGACATGGGACCTTTAAGATACAACAATAGACCTTTTAAGAGGAGAATTACTGAACATAGTTGTTTTATGCCAAGTAGATAAAGGAGTATGAAGTCTATGAAAGTGTTCATATTGAACGTATGCTCACCATCCACATAAAGCTGCAAGCATTCTCAGCTCTGACCTTGAATAGGTGGGTGAGGGTATTATTTAACGATATACATTTATATACGACCCTCAGATGTATTATTAACATTTGAACGATAACATTGGAACACACACACACACACACACACATACACATACACACACACACACACACACACACTGCCCCCCCCCCACGTGGGGATTTGAAATCTCCGAAGGGACACATTTCCAATGATTACTTTCAGCTGTGACTTTTGCTCAATCATCTGGGTCATCTGCTTTCAGAAAATACATTATAGACGAGTTGCCATACAGTGTGTGCCTATATTTATGCCTGTACCCTACTAGCAGAACAAGGACTAAAAAGAGAGAGCGATTGACTGTGTGTCAAAAGAGTGAGACTTTGGTTTTGTGCAGCCTTCCTCTCTTCAGGGCAGACATTCATGTTTTTACTTTTCAGCTTTGCACTTTGAGCTGAAATTCTGAAGCTTGCAAAATTCTCCTTGGAAGCTATAATATTAGCAACATATTTTCTAAAAAGGTTATAAGTACACTTTGAAAACACTCCTGAAGTTTATTTTTGATAATCAATCTGCAATGTTTCTTCTTTTGTTTATCAAATCAAATCAAATCAAGTTTTATTTATATAGCACATTTTTAAAACGATTTTTGGTCGAGCCAAAGTGCTGTACATATAATAATTACCTTACAGTAAGGACACTTTACAGCAAATATAACAGCACAGTTTGTGCAGAATACCAGTATGAGAAAACGACACCCTCTGTCCTTAGACCCTCACATCGTGCAAGGAAAAACTTCCGGAGAAAAACCCCACAGTTTAAAGGGAAAAAATGGGAGAAACCTCAGGGAGAGCAACAGAGGAGGGATCCCTCTCCCAGGACGGACAGAAGTGCAATAGATGCCGTGTGTAAGAGATAATACATTTTACAGCATAGGTAGACCGAATGTTAGGAAATGCATGTGACTATAATAAGAAGATGAATCCACGAAGGTGTCAAGAACAATCCTGTGGGAGCCATCAGGGAAGCAGCATGACGAGACCCAGGCAGGACCGCAGAGACAGGCCCAGCCACGACCCGAAGTCCACGACTAATCCAGAACTCAGGATAGAGGATCCAGGGCACAGGACCACAGCAAGAGGATCAGCCTCGACTCCGGATCCCGGCGTAGATATAAACACAAAAAAAATATATGGGGGGAGGCTGGGTTAATCGGAACATGCGAATACACAGACACAGACAGGCACACGCAGGGAGCAAAGTCCCGGCTGGGGCCTTAGTTAGTTATGTATGTTCATTGTGGATGAATGACTTTTAGGCAGAAATTAAGATTGGTAACGTATTGTTAATAAAAACGTTGAAGTTATATGTTTAATCAGGATAGTGACATTAGCAGCAAAAAGCTTAATTTAGAAATTTGAAATGTATGATTAAAATAGTTGCTTTTACATTTCTGAGCATTCTTTGCTGCTGCCCACTTTGTGGACAACACAGTAATGTGTTTGCACTAGTGCTTTTAAGATAATAACATTTAACACATCATACAGCATGTAAAAGTGTTGGGAGGAAATAAACACAAATTACACAAATGCACCTGCTACCAAACTAACTTGTAAAAATGTAATCTATGGTTTTGAGTTTAGAAACAGTTAAGAAACTGTAGTGTAACTTCTTTCTCTGTGAAACAGTTCATAAGAACTACACTTGGTTACATAAAACCATCTTTAACAATTTTACACAGCCAGGTTTGTTCTTCTTTGGATATGCTAAGCAATTATTATTATTATTATAAATACATACCTGCTATTATTATTTATTACATTATAGACATTTTAGATTTTATTTTTATACTCCTGGAAATAATTACTGCACTTTATTCCTTATTCCTAAGTATGTATGCTGCGTGTATTTGTTGTCTTATGTTGTGATGTTTTTTTATTTTTATTTTTTTTATGGCACCCTTGAAAGGGAGAAGCATTTATTTATCTCATTGTACCTGTATAATGACATTAAACGATTCTATTCTATTCTAATTATTTTGACTTGCTGATGACAAGGCCATTTATTACACTGTTAAATATGGACTGGCCTGTCTTCACTTGTACAAAATAAATCTTAATATCTTTTTTCCTCTTCTGTATTTTTGTTTCTGTCCTCAGGACGAGAAGAACCAAGTGCTGGTGACCAACGCCTGGCTGCAGCTGGTAAGTCGTAGCTTTAGAACGGCACATTATCATCATTATAATGTTTTTTAATTATAATGCTGATTTTATTACACAATTATCTTCTCAATACGCTGTGACTGTGTTTTCTCAAATTACCAGTCCCACTACATTAATTGCTTGTTGATGATATTGAAATTTCACCATGTGCGTCTAGTGAAACTGGAACTCAGCCACCAGTTGTTGCCAAATGTGTGTGTTTGTGTGTGTGTGTGACAGAAAGAGACACTCCCTTTTGTGTGGCCATGTTCAATGCTGGCATCAGCATACTCCAGAAGACATCGCTTTAGGCACATTTTTAAGCAGAAAGTGAGACGAGCGGCGGAGGAAGAAAGAGTGCAGAATATTTAACTGGCAGTCTACTTGATAGTTAATGGACTTGATGCCAACAAACAAATTCAGTTTCATAGCCTCCAGCAAAATGAGTCTGTGTTGCAGTTTTAAGTTTTAAGCTGTCAGTTATGGCTGTATCCTTAACAAGTCTTAAAAACAATTGAATTCAATAATATAAATATATATTTGAGCTAGCAACAGCATGAGTATATATATTTAACAGTTGCTAACTGTAAGTGTTTTTATTTTGGTAATTGTAAAGTTGCTTTTAAATTAAATTTAGAGCGGTCTTAAAACATATGAAATTCCAATTGCCTTAAAGGTCCCATGTCATGCTTTTCCGGTTATTACCCGTCCCCTTGTGTGTTATGAAGGTTTTTATGCATGTAAACAGTCTGCAAAGTCACAAACCCTCAAAGTACACCCTGTAGCGAATAAAACTCTAACACAGAAAAAACCTGTCTATGCTGCCCCAGAACGCCTCGTTGAAGATTTCTCTTTTTCCATTTTTTTCTTCCGGGAACCAAGTGACGTAACGACGACCCAATGACCAATCCGTGGAGCTCCTCACACACACACACTCTCTCAGCGGTGAAACTGTGACGCGCTGGGGGTGGGGGGGTGGGTGCTAATGGAGCCTCGCAGTGGCAAAACTGTGGCGCGCTTACACTGTAGGTGCGCCGCAGATGGGGGTGCTGCAGCCCCCTCAGCACCCCCCCTTCCCGCGTCCATGGTGCTCAGGCTGAGTTCAGACTGAGTTTCGCGATGTCTCGCTGTCTCGCAGACCCCACGCAGCAACCAGGAAACGACACCAGTAATAGAGCTCACACTGTCCCCTCCTCACATCAGCGAGCCGCGCAACGTCCCGCCAACACGGCACCCAGACCCCACGCAGCATTCTCATCTGTTTGTCATTACTGGTGCCATTTTCTGGTTGCTAACAAACGCCATTGTAACACATAATCACTGATGTTCCGCTGTAACGGTGGTGGACTCATCAGAACAGAGTGGGCGAGCTGACCAATCAGAGCACAGTGGACTCATAGGGAGGGGGGGGGGCAGGAGCTCCAACAAGCCGTGTAGGACAGAGAGTGAATACACATACTTATACAGAGATGCTGTATGAGAAACCAATGTGAGTTTGGAACATTGAACAATGTAAATCTATTCTAGTAGACCTCAACAATGGAATTATGATCAGTAGAAATGGCCATGACATGGGACCTTTAAGCAGTTAAAACCCTAGCTTATATACATGCTTACAGGAAAATGTTTTTCTATTCATTACTTGATAACTTTTATACTGAATGTGCGACTTTCTTGTGAAAGATCAGTTGGATTATTTCAAATAGCCCTTAGACATTAAATGTTTTGCAGAGCATGAGAGTTGCATCCCTTTAAACAATATTTGAAGATCCCTACAAAGTACTTTGTGAAACAGTTTCTCTCTGTTTCTCCCTGTCTCTCTCTCTCAGTATTGGACAGACGTCTACCTGAGCTGGAATCCAGAAAAATACCCCGGTGTCCAGAACCTGCGCTTCCCTTCAGACCAGGTCTGGACCCCTGACATCCTCCTTTACAACAGGTCAGAGCTTTTCACCTGCTTATCACTACCTTCCTTATAGCAGACATTTTTATATTAGTAGTGTATCAAATGACGATGTGAAATCAGTGTTGTATTATTAAAGGGGTCGGATATAGTGATTTACTGAGAAATCACTTTAATTTGCAGGTCACTTCGGCTTTACACGGCTTTATCCTGAGTTTCTGCTCTTTGTTTAGCTTTCTAGCTGCAACATTAATATTTTGGTTCCACTCTCATGGTGCCTTTTCAGCTGCAGCCGGCAGCTGTGTCAAGCGAAAAAGCTTTAAAACACACTACGCACTACTTGTTTACTGTAGCATTAAACAACAGACAGAATGTGTTGTCTCATGTGAAAATGTTGGTGTTGTGACCCATCGTCAGCAGATTAACACCTTTGTTACTATTTTTATTTTTGATTGAGTGCTTTGAAGTAGTTCAAATATCAGTCTAATCCTTATTACTTTCATAAATTCTGTCTTTAATCTCTCCACAAACCAAAGCACCAACCAAACACAACGCTTTAAAAACCTACACCGTAGTTCCACTGCATTCAATAGAAATGTGCTGGCTGTCTTTTAAGAAACCATAACGATGACAACAAATAAAAACATTTGTGATATCACACTTTAAAAAAGGAGTCATAGGCTTAAGGCCAAGTCAACATTGAACTAAATGAGATTGAGCGAGCTCATTGCATATTTTGATTCAGGTCAGGCTGTATCCACTGTTCTGCATGATTCTCAAGTCAATTAGAAAAGTAGGCCAGTTGTTTTCATCCAAAACAACTAATTGCATTGCGTTTGCATGCTTCACTGAGAGATGGATGATCTGGTTTGAGACTGAGGGGGGAGAAACAAGAAGAAATGGAATAAATCACAAAAAGGGAGACAAAGACCAATTGTAATGTGTGACACAGCTTGTAAAACAGAACATTTGAAAGACGTATATACATAAAGTGAAGTTAAGAGAGACAGACAGCTATTTAATTGACATTTCATTATGTTTCTGAGGTGATCAATGGACAAAGATGCCCATATTTCCCCCTGAAACACACTGAAACACACACACACACACACACACACACACACACACACACACACACACACACACACACACACACACACACACACACACACACACACACACAGGCACTTTACAGGGAATACAAGGACAAAACAGAGGTTTGGGGGTATTAACCTACATTTTAAAAGCTCATCTTTCAGACCTGCCAGGATTACCCATCCTAATCTCCCTTCTCCCCCAGATTTGTTCTCCACTGCCTCCTCTCCTCCCTTTCTACATCCACCATCCATGCCATCTTACAAACTAGCATCTAGCCATCTTCTCATCTATTTCTGTCTCCCTCCGTCTCTCTTTCATAACTCACTGTCTCACTATAATTCACTCTATTCAATCAACTTTTTCCCTCCATATTTTTTATCGTTCCACAGCCTTCACCAACTCCTCTTTATAAATCATTCTAGTTACCTGTCGCTGCCTGTCAAGGTGTCAGTATGTTACTCTCCCCCTCTACTCACAGGCAACCTTTGTTTCTTGCTAGATGCTCCCCTGTCTTCTCTTGAGCTGAATTTGACTTTGCTACCCGCTGAAATCTCTTCACATATAAAAACACCTCCCTGGTTTTTGGAGAAACTTCCTGAAGTTTTGACTTGTTTGCTTTGCCTAGCATGAACCTGAGGAAAAATACATTCTTCCTATTTTATTTTCACTTGTTATCTTTGATCTAATTCAGGAAATGTATACAGCACAGAAGTCATAAGGAGTAGTTCACAGGGTTTTCTATTGAATGATGGGTAAGCCAAGGCTGATTTGACTCCTCAACTTTAAGAGGGTAGCCCTACATTTAAGCATATTAATGTTTGCTATTTAGCACTCAATTACACGTTGAGCTCATGAAAATATCATTAGTTTTACTGGTGTTGGACAAAGTAAATATCTAAACACATTTTAAGGCAATCTTTAAAAAAAAAGATTGATCAGTGTTTTGATTTTTACCATTGAATAAAGCGGTGGACCAACTCAGTCTTTTGTTAGCTTTGCAAAATAGCTGTATATGTATGTCATTTTTTTTAAATGTTATTATCGTAACTTGTTCATACATGTGTGCCTCAGATTGGTGCTGATGTTGCTGGTTTTCAGCCTAAGACTTATCTCATTGAATTCTGAGAAGATGAAAACTAGAGTGAAGCTGAAGACTCAGTTTACCCCCTGAGGAGAAATGTCAAATGTTCAGCAATAATATTGATTGTTGCTAGAAACACACACAAACAGATGCAATGCTGCACATCTCTAAGCTCTCAAGTCACTAATACATATGCACACAAACAAACACACACTCTTCACCAGCCCATCACACACAATCACATACATGCTGTTACACAATTACAGTCATTAATGGCACAAAACACACCATTACACTGTGGCCCATCAGTGCGCAGCCAATAAAACACTAGTCTTACTGTTTAGAATAGCAGATGCATTCAGGCTTATTAGCCCCTGCTCAGATGAGAGCCCTCCATCTACCCATTAATGTATTGTTATTGTGTTAATATGAAGTTAATGATGTCTAGTAGTGCCGAGGTCAGATGCCATCTCAAAATGATTTGAATTCAAGAAAGATAAAAATATCTCAGAATAAAAAATCAGAAATTGTCTGGATATGAGTCACTCAGCTCATATTATCCCAGTGTGAAATCTTTTATATCTCTCTCTTATTGCTTTTCACATTGTAGATCATTGTGCTCACACTGCTTCACAATGATGTTTCACGCATGGATAATCTTTACTGTGAGTCATGGATTTACAATCGCAAACATATCCATGCATATTGCCGGAGGAAAATATTTCCTTATCCCCATAATTGGAAATGTTTTGTAATGGGATTGACAGCTGACATCTTTCATTTCAGATCACAGAGTTAAGATTACCCTAAGTCCATTGGCTCAGACTAATTAGGAATTCCTTTAACACCTATTAGAGTTTTTTTTATTCAGCCTATTAAAACTCAACCTGCTGGTTACAAATTGAAGATAGTGGTTTATTTGGCATAGAGGGATGGAATATTTTATTATAAATAGGAAGAAGAAGAAGAAGATGGACCTTTATTAATCCCCCGAGGGGGAAATTCAGTTTCCACTCTGTCGTTACACACACATCCGTTTTTATACAGGTCATACAGTACACACAGTACACACTTTTTACAACATGCGCATACATATACAAATACACACAGTTATATGCACACATGCACATGCAGTTGAGAGGTCAGAGCGGAGGCAGCCAGTATAGCCGGCGCCAGTGAGCAGTTGGGGGTTAGGTGCCTTGCTCAAGGGCACTTCGGCAGTGGCCCAGGTGGTGAACTGGGCCCTCTCCAGTACCAGTCCACACTCCGTATTTTTTGTTCCGATCGGGACGTGAACCGGCCACCCTTCGGTCCAAAGTCCAAGTCCAATCCCCTACAGACTGAACCACTCCCGTCCTGTTGTTATGACAACAGGACACGGGTATGTGTCCTCCACTGAGACAGTGATTAATGTTTACATTAGGCTCTTCCACTTTCCTGATGAGAACCATCCGTATATTTCATGTTGACTCCGTCTCATCTGCTATGTGTGTCAGGCGAGCATAAATTGCAGAGCGTGTGTGTGATTGTATTTGTATAAAGAATATTCTGATCTTAAACGGCTTTGTGCGCCAGTGACCTCCTCTCTCATTGGAGGGAAAAGTCAATGGTCTCAGTTGACTGGGGATCGATGAGGCACATGAAGGACATCCAACTCGGGTAAACCACAGACAGAATCCTAATTCTTCCAGCGGAGACGGTAGAGGTACAACACAGACAGAGCGTTGTGACAGGCTATACACATGAAAGGGATTTCTTAGTTGTTGTTTCTTCACAAGGGTGGATGGTTAAATCAATGGACATATGGACAGTTTTGATTACCTTTTTTGCAATCACTTAAATTAATGAAAATGAAACGCAATATGCACTGTGTTAAGGTGCATGTCTTTAAAGTGTAGAAGTGCAGATTGAGCGCATGAGGTGTAAGTAATGTCCTATTGATATTATTCTTACTTGAGGAGGTGAACATCCAGAAGCTAAACACACAATGGATTACATAATGCCTTCTAAAAGCATTACGGAAATTCTGTTCATCAATAATGAAGATCTCTTGATAAACAGGAATGTTCATGTTTAACCAATAAAGCCCATGCTCAGTTTGTTTTAGTCACATAACAGTAACTTAAATGCTTGAGTTTTCACCCAAAAAAAGTACGATTAAAACCAAAATATCACATATCGTTATCCGTGGATAATGATCCAAAGTCTTTAAGTTACTTCTTAAAGATGACAATGTAGATGTTTATAAGTAGTCCATTCATCATGGGTAAATATGTGCTCTGCCTCTATAGGAATATACATCTGACTGTAAATTGGAATATACTGTACAGCTTCCTTGACCATCCAGTTAACCACAGAGCCTCGTGGCTGTCAAACAGAAAGCCTTTCCCCTGAGGCTGTTTAGTTGAACGCTATGTTCTTGAGATATGACATAAGGCACATGGATGGTGAGGACTTTGCTTAATGCAGCCTGAGTATGTGCTGACTGCGTGTAGCTTTCAACTGTGCATGGCTAAAATCTTTACAGAATGTGTTAACATATGAAGCAATACACATTATTTAGCTGTCTTTTATTCATACTTTTCTGATTTGAAACAGTTACAAATACAACTTTGCAATTAAGTAAAGGAAAAAGCAACAAAAAGTCAAATCATGAATTTGGATCAGTGCAACACTTTTGTCTTTGGGGCTTCCTGTCTGAGGACAGCAGCAGGTGATGAGTGAGTGGGAAGAAAGCTTTGGTGACTCATGTCCCATGGTGCAGTACCTGTCATTGTCACCATTGTTATTGTCGGTCAGTCTCTGTTTCCACCTTACCCCACTCTCACATGTCCACCGTACTTTCTCTGGTGTGTGTATGTCTCTGTGTGTATAGCCTGTACAAACAGGACCATGTCCCTTTCTCTCAGGGCTATCACTTGCCTGGTTGTATGAAAGTGTCATGGTTAAAATGTTTACATCGCAGAAGGTATTTTGTTTTAATATCTTAAAATATTTTGTCCCAACAGAAACAAAAAGAAAAATGTTTCCAAGTAGATGCAAACATTGCTTTTTCAATAATGTGTTTTTGTTTGCTTGATCTAATTGGTCCTTTTAAGATAACAGTCTGTAAATCTCTCCTTTTCCTCACATACATAACTTGTACAGTATGTACTTTCTGGTGCACACACACACACACAGAACAAGACGTGGTGTGCTGTGATGTATGTAACGCTTAAAAAGTGCACACCTTTAGATAAAGTAAGCCCAAAGCTTGAATAATTCATCACTCAGCTCCGCCTTTGCCTTGCCCAGCACCCAGAGCTACAGCTGATAGCAAAACACCCAGAGAAAATAAATAAATCACCACACTTAGGCCCCGGCTCCAAGGGAACGCATACGGCAAAACGCATCGGAGTAACGCAAACGCAACCGCAAAAAACCTTCCGTCCCCACGCAATATACACCGGATTGTGTCAAGCTCCACGAGACGGCTCCGTTTACATCCAACCGCTGGAAAAGCTGCAGTACATACATGCCGAACCTGTATGTGGCGCTGTAACTTCCTCCACAATAGCAGCAACTTCCTCCACAAAAGCAGCGAAGAAGAATGGTTGTCATGGCTGCACTTCTGTTTATTCTCCGCGGTGGGGGCGGAGGGAACCGCGCAGAGTTTTTCGCCGGTCAATGTGTGTTAAAGTTTAAATCTTCATGCTTCCTCATGCAGCAGCTGATCCAGTAAGTAAACCCGACAGTAAAAATAAACATATTTATAACTAGTTTAGGTAGTTTGAGAGGTAATTAAAATAGCTAAGAGTGGTGATCTGACTTGAAGTGTGTGTTTTGCTCCCGCTGCTTCACAGCCGGAGGAGCTGCGTGTCTCCGTCCTGTCAGATTAGACTTCACTTGCGTTTATGTTCATATCGAGATAAAGATAAATAATCTGAATTCAGTGTGCAGTGTACTTTTGCGGGGGTGAGCAGCAGAGGTGGGGAGAGGCGGGGCTATGAAACGGATGACCGTATAGGCGACCCCACGGCCCCGTTGGACCCCCCAGAGCGCTCCGTTCCCAGATCTATCCACCTTTGGACCCGTTGTCGTTTGCGGGGTCTGTTTCTACGTTTCCGTTACGGCGTCGTCGAGCTTAAAGGGCTATACGCATGAGAAATATGCGGATTCAACCCGTTTTCGTCCCCGTGGAGCCTAGGCCTTAACCCCCCGTAAAAGGTAGATTACTCAATCTTCAGCAAAAGGCAATGACAACTAAAACGGGTCCTTCCACAAATGCTGTGCATGCAGCGCTCTTTTGTCAGGGCTGAATGAGGCTCCAGGATGCTTCAGACACACTGGCGTTATCTCTCTCACTGGGGGATTGCATTGTGTGTCTTGATTTGTGTGTGCATGTATAGCTGTATTGTGTGTGCCTTTTATGCTGTATATGTATGTAGAGAGTTCAGTGCGGGTCTGAGTTATAGATTGGTGTGAATTAAGTGAAAAGGACTGTCAGCTCTAAAATGGGCTTTTATATTTTGTGTGACCTAAGATGACAAACACAGGACTTTACGTGTGTGTGTGTTGTGTGTGGGTGTGTGTGTGTGTGTGTGTGTGTGTTGTGTGTGTGTGTGTGTGTGTGTGTGTGTGTGTGTGTGTGTGTGTGTGTGTGTGTGTGTGTGTGTGTGTGTGTGTGTGTGTGTGTGTGTGTGTGTGTACAATAATATCTATTTTTTTTAATGCTGAAAACGGACTTTTGGCACGACAGAAGGAGATGGTGGGATTTTTGTTCCCATGTGTTGCTACAGTATTAGTAGTTACCTTTTTCCCATTATGCACTGTTAGTGTGGGTCCGCCTCTTACTCTTCTGCTGTGAATGCATTTTATCGAGATTCGTAAGTGCTTAACGCTGTCAATGTAAACACACTAAGACACTCAACATGTTTCCTAAATGTTGCATGATTGTGTATGTTATGCAACTGTAAATAGGGTCATGTAAATACAAATGACTAAAATATTGAACTCAATGTTTGATTTCCTGTAAGAGTTAAAAGGACAATTTAAAAACTATGACAAATCATATTTCTTAAATGTTACTTTTATAGATTTTTTTTATAAGCTTTATACAAATGTTCTGTTTAGCTGCCTGCATCTTTAAAAAAGTAGCAATGAGGAGGAGGAGGGGAGAGAAGCTTCCTTCCAGCGAGTTGCTAGAGTGGAGAATCAATTTGTATGAACAGGATGTTTGCTATATACTGTAGAAACAAAACAACAAAACAGAAGAGACTGGCTAAGTTCAGACCCTGCTTCTGGCACTTTTTTTTAACAGTTCACATTTTCCGTGACATCAGAAGAGCTACTCTTTAATTCTTAATTAGAGTTCAACTGGAGTGCCAGAGCTGAAGTGGACCTAAGGTTATGTGTGTATGCGCATATCTGTCCACAAAGGTCGTATTTGCTACTCCTAGGAGTTTTAGACATAACATATTATTCTTTGTTCAATGGTTTATTTGACTTTAAGTTCCGTTGTCAAACTTTAAATATTGAAAACGTACTTACACTAAACCTTTACATGCCTGCTAATATATATCTCTGACCTGTTATCTATAGGTTGCCGAGAGCCTTCAAGGATGCATCTGTGATGTTTTCTCATGTCACTGATTTGGTTCCTGTAACTCCATATTTTGCATAGTAGTGGAGGTGATTATCTGGTTTCACTGCACCCTGGATTTAACCTGGGTTTTAACTGTGTGCATATAAGGGGTGACAGACTGTTGCAGCACGCTGGTCGCTCCACAGATGGCCGGTACAAATCACTTCACTGCACGCCCCTGTGGCAGGTTAGGCTGAACATTGTAAAGATTGGCACACTTTAACCGGTATACAACCACAAAAACAAATTACATTAGGTGCCTAAAGAGCGAGATATTTACCTCGGGACTTGCTAGAGAAGAAACAGGGCTAAATGAGAGCAGTTTAGGACTTGCATTCATCAGGTACCCAGAAAGTCACCTCCAAATGAATGATAATGTTGTCTGTAACTGCTGGAATAGGCAACTGTTTGCCTACAAATATACTGAGCTGTTGCTGTTCTTCTGATAAATGTTATATCCCACCAACTAATACTTTTCTTATTCCTTAATCTGTCTTTTCAATATGTGCAGACTCTTTTTTTTTTTTTAATAACAATTCCTTGCCTCTCTAAAATAGTACAAATTAACAAACCAATTTAGAAGCTTTTGGCCTGCATGTGGTACCTGAGAGCATTATGTCGAAAACAATTAAAAGGGCAATAAAGAGATTTCAGTTAGATGGAGTTTTAGCTAACAGCAAGATGATGAAAAATGTTCAAGGTGCATCTATTCTCTCCCTAGTGCCGATGAGCGATTTGATGCCACCTTCCACACCAACGTACTGGTGAATGCGTCAGGCTACTGCCAGTACATCCCCCCTGGCATCCTTAAGAGCACCTGCTACATCGACGTGCGTTGGTTCCCCTTCGACGTCCAAAAGTGTGACCTCAAGTTTGGCTCCTGGACACACAATGGCTGGCTGCTGGACCTCCAGATGCTGGATGTGGACACATCCACATACATACCCAACGGGGAGTGGGACCTTGTGGGTAGGAGAGATGCACTGTTTTTGTTGCCATCAGGATAGATGACTGTACCATGGATCCTGGTAACTGTACTTGAATCCAGTCCCCCCTGCCTGAAATGCCTCAATTAGAATTCTTGATTACTTCTTTAACATAGTGACATAACTGTAGCACTCGCTCTTCTATTGGCTATGCTAAGGGTCATATGCTAAGGCAAGACATTTCCTCTTACATCTCGAATTGGTTGATCAATCACAACAGAGCCCACCAGCTAACCAATCACAGCAGACTTGGCTATCATTTCAGACAGAGGGTGAAAAGAGGTGCTCAGGCAGTATGAGAAAACTAAAGACCTTTTTCGAACATTAATGGTACAGTAGAGACACAAACTAGAAAATATGAACCTGAACATTAGCATAATATATCCTCTTTAACAAAGTTGAAATATTCTAACCGAAATGACTAAGACAATGCTGTAGACGCTATAGAGGACATTGCTATGTGCTCCCCCTTATACACCGGGGTCAGGGCTTACTGACTTCCTCTGTCCAAGGTCTGTTGTTTAAAAATAATTCTGGAGAGACATCAATTGGATGAGTTGTAGCTTAATGAACTGGAAAGGGTCGAGTTTTTGGAAGACCTACCGAGCAGGACGTCTCCAGCTGGGACCGAGCAGCAGCAGATCCCAGTGCCTGTGCCCCCGGGGTGAGGGTTAGCTGGACATTGGTGTCAGACAGCACCAGATGGCATGCAATAGGAATGTTTGACATGTTGGCAGGTGTGTAGCCGTTCCATATGTGAGAGCAACACAGTTAAAGTTCAAGGTGAGATAGTTAAGCCATTTGGTGGCTAGCCAAACATTTTAATTAAAATACAAACATAGGATAAATGCAGAGCAAAGTTCCAAGCCTGTCACTTAGTTGCTTATCATTGCCACTCGTCATTCGTTGTATTTCCTTCTATGTTGTTTACATGAATTATATAGGCTATTTACATATTCAATCACTTTATTAGTTCACAAATAACGTACTTATATGCGTTTACTCCTCTCTTAGGTGTTCCAGCCAAGCGCAATGAGCTGTACTATGAATGCTGTAAGGAGCCCTACCCTGATGTGACATTCACAGTCACTATGCGCCGCAGGACGTTATATTATGGACTTAACTTGCTCATCCCATGTGTGCTGCTCTCTGGCTTGGCCATGCTGGTCTTCCTGCTACCTGCAGACTCTGGAGAAAAGATTTCTCTGGGTGAGAGGGGCTTAAGCACACTTGTTGTTTACATGAAAATACCTTGCTTTGCAAAACAGTTAAAAAATGTGTCATTGATCTATGTGAGCAAGATAGAAAGATGTTTGTTCAGTATTTTAGTACTCTGCATTTATTATTTAAATAATAGTAAAGCAATATAGTTTTCAATCCCCAAGTGTGTTGTACAAAATTGAGTTTGAAAGTGTTCAAGCATATACAAATGCAGTCACAGCTGTACACCAATACATACATCTATTAAGGCACACCAGCATATGTGTGCTTGCATCTTCATGAATCACATAGTGAGCCATGAATACATACATGGCAAACAACCATGAAATAACTTTAAAATAAGAGGCTTGCCTTAAATCCAATTTTGATGAATATCCCATTGAAAGGAGCAGTAGCCTGTTACAAAGTTTGAGGGATTTCTGGAGCTGTAACTCACCTTGGACACATCAGAGTAGTCGGCAGTTGATACATGGTTGTAGTCATGAGACCATAATTGATTACATGTATACGTTATTACACCATTTCATACACCAGTGATCCTGATCACATCGTTATGCTCATGTTCTCTTTTTCTCTCCGTCTTAAGGCATCACTGTGCTCCTTTCGCTAACTGTCTTCATGCTTCTGGTAGCAGAGATCATGCCTGCAACGTCCGACTCTGTTCCTCTCATCGGTGGGTTATATTTATGTGTATAATTATGTGTCTACATGTAATATACTTAAGCGTGCATGCATGCATTATCACCCTGAATAAGTGACAAACTTCAGAAGGAAGTAATCATTTCCATTCCTTACATTTTTTCTAACAGATGCATTATACCTCACCAAAGATATCCCTGGTGTTTGTTTGCCTGTATACATGATTCACAGAGCCCTTGGGTGGTGTGTCAAATAAAATAAAATCAAATCAAGTTTTATTTATAAAGCACATTTAAAAGCGATTTTTGGTCGAGCCAAAGTGCTGTACATGTAATAAAAACACATTACTACAATCACAATAAAAGACAATAAATTACAACAGATATATATAAAAAAAACACAGGGAAAAGTCAGGAGTCGTGTGTGGAGTAAGAACTAAAGCTGTCAGCCACACTAATAGACTAGGGGGTAGCTAGATAGAGAAAGAAATATGGACCGTCTAGAGGGAGATGAGTAACGTTTGGGGCTAAAGTTGACCAAAACAAAAGGCTTGAAGAGGCAGACATCCATTTTTTTTGTCGTGTGTGTATGAGAGAATGTGTGTTAACATGCTTTGATTTATAACTGCAGTGCTGTATGTACGTGTCATATCAGTTTCACCTGGTCAATTTAAAATATATTGTACATATCAACTGTACATGATGTGAGTGTATTGATGAGATTAATGTTTGTCCATACTGGACAGGGTCACCACTACATCAATGCGCTGATAAGTGCCCTCGCTCAGAAAAGGCTTGATAAATGCTTCATCGATTGAATAGTCTGTGCTCCTTAATTCCCTCAACCTCAACACAAGGCCAACTGGGACACTTTAAGCAGACATGTTAGAATGACTCATACCCCTTTACAACACAGTGGCCGAATCCGGATTTGAGTTATTGTAGCTGCTTGAGCTTATATAAAGCAAGTGTTCAACACTGCTGCTTATATCAGGCCGCATATGTCTTTTATCATCAGTCTTTAATCACTAGATAAGGATATGAGTTCATATCCTTTGAGTTAATTTAGTCAGACATGTTTTATCTGTTTTAAGACCATTTGGCTCAGTTCGTTTTTTAATTCTGTTCAGTTTTTATTCATTTTTGACTTATTTAGTACAGCCACACTCACCAATGCCATTTGTAACTAAAGGTTATTTGTTGAATTATTGTAAATCATATATATATATATATATATATATATATATAGGCAGTCTTTTTCTGGCTCTTATTCCATAAAACAAAGTCATTTAGTCACAGCAAATGTCCCTCCGCTTCTCATGAACACGTCCTTTAACGGTCCCATGACATGGCCATTTCTACTGATCATAATTCCATTGTTGAGGTATAGATTTATATTGTTCAATGTTCCAAAATCACATTGGTTTCTCATACAGCATCTCTGTATAGTATGTGTATTCACTCTGTCCTAAACGGCTTGTTGGAGCTCCTGCCCCCCCCTCCCTGTGAGCCCACTGTGCTCTAATTGGTCAGCTCGCCCACTCTGTTCTGATGAGTCCACCACCGTTACAGCGGAACATCAGTGATTATGTGTTACAATGGCGTTAGCAACCAGAAAATGACACCAGTAATGACAAACAGATGAGAATGCTGCGTGGGGTCTGGGTGCCGTGTTGGCGGGACTTTGCGGGGCTCGCTGCTGCGCCCTTTGAGGCTCGAGGAGCGGCCAGTGTGAGCTGGATTACTGGTGTCGTTGGTGCGTGGGGTCTGCGAGACAGCGAGACACCGTGAAATTCAGCCTGAACTCAGCCTGAGCACACACACAAACTCACAGCCAGGCTGAGAAATCCGTGGAGCTGCGGCTGAGAAAAGATAAGGCTGAGTAAGTGTGTGTGTGTGTGAGGAGCTCCACGGATTGGTCCATTTGGTCCATTTGGTCGTCGTTACGTCACTTAGACCAGGAAGAAAAAAATGGAAAAAGAAAAATCTCCAACGAGGCGTTCTGGGGCAGCATGGACAGGTTTTTTCTGTGTCAGAGTTGTACTCGCTACAGCAGGGGTGACCACACTTTTTCAGCTTGGGAGCTACTTTTAAAATGACCAAGCCCAAAAGATCTACCTACACCTGCCCAATCTATGTCGCGAGCGCGGGGTGGGGGGGTGCTAGTGTACTAAACGGCGGATAAACTGTGGCGCGCTTACACTAATTGCGCATAATAGTGCGCCGCATTTGCCCCCCTCATAACTTCATGAACCCGTACACAATACAACTCAGACTGGCTTACCTGTACGTCAATCAAGTGGCAAATGCCATAGTAAGGATGGATGATAGGCTAACTTAAAAAAATAAAAAATAAAAATATATATATTTTTTTTCAATGCCATGCGATCTACCCACACTACCTTTGCGATCGACCGGTCGACGTATTGGGCACCCCTGCGCTACAGGGTGTACTTTGAGGGTTTGTGACTCTGCAGACTGTTTACATGCATACAAAGCTACATAACACACAAGGGGACGGGTAATAACCAGAAAAGCATGTCATGGGACCTTTAATGCTATGTTCTATAATGCTGTGTCTTCTTCAGTGTTTCTTCTCTTTCCCCACTATTTTATCATCTTCTTCTTCATTTGAACCTTTATGATCCTTAGTTTGCAGGCTTTGCAGTAGCTGTAGTCCTGTTTAGCCGTTAGCTCTTTTTAATTCACATTCACTAGCGTCTATGTGCGTGCGTGTGTGCATGTGTCCTCTTCAACTGGTGAAAAACATCCCTCCCGAACCAACATTAAGCTCTCTCTCTCTCTCTCTCTCCCTTCTCTAATTATATTGTTTTTGTTTTTTTGTTTAACCCTATTTTCTGTTTTGTCAAACTTTTTGCAAATGTTCTCCATTTCAGTTTAAGTGTGCATATTTTCCCCTTGGCACTATAACTTCTTGCACAAATTGATCAGACTTGCTTTCCTTTGATGTTGCAGTGTGAAATCAACCTATTTTTGGAAATAATTAAAGGATAATGTTTTACCTGTTAGTAGATGTTCATTAAATGTGACCATGGTAGTGGGGCATGGACTTATTGGTATCTTATTGGAGCAAAATGTAAAGTATTTCGTTTTTTGTGTACACTTGTCAGCCCAGTACTTTGCCAGCACCATGATGATAGTGGGGATGTCTGTGGTGGTGACAGTTATAGTCCTGCAGTTCCACCATCATGATCCTCGAGGAGCCAAGATGCCCAAGTGGGTGAGTAGCCTAAACTGGTTGAATCCGTTTTAAACATTCAGCACAAAGGCTTATGTTTAGATGAGTGTGTTATCGTTTGGTTTTGCGCCACTGACGCTCCCTCCCTCCTTTCAGGTTCGAGTGGTTCTGCTGAACTGGTGTGCCTGGTTTCTGCGTATGAAACAACCCGGCGATGAGCGTAAGCGGGCAGGTTACAAGCACAGTCCCACCTCCCAGCACCACTCCAGCACCAGCTCCATAGAGATGGGCACTTTACCAAACCTAAATATGCCCCTCTCACAGACATCTTGCCCACCTTGTCCCACCGGCACCTCCAACGGTTCAATGAGCCTCTACTTTGGCAATTACCACTCCATAGAGAGCCCACAATGCCCGCCTTCCAGCGACTCTGGGGTAGCACTAGGGGGCCGTGCCCATGGCTCCCCTGGTGATGAGGCTGAGTCATCTGGAGGAGTTGGCAGTGGTGTTGGAGGCCTGGGGATGGGAGTTGGACCTAGGATGGGAGTCAGCATCCCCCCTCCAGAGATCCAGCGCATCTTAGATGAGGTGTCGTACATAGCCCAGCGCTTTCGGGAACAGGACAAGGCCGAGGTCATCTGTGGCGAGTGGAAGTTTGCAGCGGCGGTGGTGGACCGGCTGTGTCTGGTGGCTTTTTCTCTCTTCTCCATCATTTGCACCTTCACCATCCTCATGGCAGCACCCAATTTCATAGAGGCTGTTTCCAAGGACTTCACAGCTGGTTGAAGCAGCAGTGGAGAGTGGGAAGACAGCAAAGATTAGGGTTGAAGAAAATATTAAGAAAGAAAGGGGAAGGATACAATGAAGGGTGCAGTTTGTGGTCCCATACCTACAGTCAAGGTACCCCATTGGAAAGGAGCTGGGGCCAGGCAGTGTTTTATGATAAAAATGTACTGAAGAAGCTCAAGAAAGTAAAATTGACAAAATCAGAAAAAAAAATAGTCATGATTGATCAATAAATAATCACAGAGAGGAATCATAATGTTTTACTCGCACTTCTAAATGAAGAAGAGAAGCATAATGCATTGTCCCACACAGGTTGTTCATATGTATAGAATGAAATAGGTGTTGCATGCAGACTCAACAACAAACCTGGAGTGACTTGAGCTAAAAGGTTGGTAATCACCGGGGCGGTAGGGGAGGACACTGTATAGATTTTCTTTTTGACATTTCAATGAGTGGAAGATAATGTGGCAATAATGTTGCACCCTGAAACAGAGATGGAGCACTCGAGTCCTGGACTCGGACTCGAGTCGGACTCGAGTGCCGATTTTCGGGACTCGTGACTCGACTCGGACTCGCGCACTGATTGACGCGACTCGGACTTGGACTCGTGAATTCTCGCACACGATGACTTGGACTCGGACTCGGACTCGTGAATGATCGCGTACGCTGACTTGGACTCGGACTCGGACTCGTGAATTTTTCCCCCCACGATGACTCGGACTCGACTTGTACATTGACGCTCCGACTTGGACTCGGACTCGGACTCGGACTCGAGCAAGTTTTCTATGGAGTCTGATGTCCTCTATCCTGGCGTGTGCACCGGCTGCGAGGCGAGTTCACGTACTGGGCCCCGCTATTCCAGTCTAAAGATGTCTAGAGACACACCCCGCATCGTGCTGTATGCTTTCACACATTCTGCTTCCACATTGGAAAAGAGCAGCGCAAAATGCTCTATGTGGAAGCAATATTGAAGAGAAGGCTCCGTAACACATTACTCTAAACATCGAGTTCAGACATATAGGCTGTCTTGAACACTATCATCAGAGTAACGTGATCTAATCAATACATAAAGATTCAGCCGATAACACGAAAGCACATGGCTACTTAACATGCAGAATGACGTCATTTTGCATGCTAAGTAGCCATGTGCTTTCTGGGGCTAAATCTTTATCAGTAAACCGATTTAACCGGTAAAAGTTCCTTCAAAATAAGAGTCCCGATCTTATTACTTTCAAAATAAAAGTGCAAAACGAAAACTTTACCATAGGAAAATATTGGCATACAAATATAATCACTTCTCTAAAAGGTAACTCATTTTAAACATAGTTTATTTATATATAATAATAATAATATTAATATTAGTAATAAGCTTTATATTTGTATAGCACCTATTACAAGAATTGTAGCCAAACTCGCTTTACAGCAGTTCAATAGACACATTAGTATAACATGACAGGATAAAAGCAATGTAGAGGAGCAGCTACATTTCAACACATATATCCACGAAGATTAATACATGAAGACTTGTGACTCGGACTTGACTTGGACTCTTCTTAGGTGACTCGGACTCGAACACAGGTAATGATAACTCGGACTCGGACTCGACTCGGACACTCCTTGGGTGACTTGGACCTGGACTCGGACTCGAACACAGGTAATGATGACTCGGACTCGGACTCGACTCGGACACTCCTTGGGTGACTCGGACTTGGACTCGGACTCGACTACGACTCTCCCTTGGTGACTCGGACTCGAAGAGTGGTGACTCGAGAGTGACTTGGACTCGTGAATTGGTGACTTGACTACAACACTGCCCTGAAAACACTGTTAATACCATTATTTTATCTGCACTTATTTTTAAACAACTTCTTAATTGACTGTACAGTGACTCATTCAGCACCCCAGTCTCTTCTCTTGTTTATTTGTATCTTTGTCCTGTATGTACACGATCATACACCAACTGTTCACCTTCAAAAGAGAATCAGACTTTTTCTTATGAAGTATCATCCCTGTAATAACATTAGGTTAGATATTAAAACGAGATGTTTCACTGTGAATTTTATTGTTATTACGTTCACTTTGACAACAGAAATCAACCTTATTGCTTTTACACAAGTGTAAAGGCATTTTCTTTATACATCAGAGTAGAACTGCATATTTAGGATAACTTTGTCTAGCCTGTTTAATTTAAGGCAATATAATATGTAACATGAGAACAGTTTGGAACAGTGATATGATACAATATTCAATACATTGTATAAAAAAAGCACTGTGTGGACTGGTATGTACTGGTGTTGACCAGTAAGACAACAGTAAATATTTTAGCAAAATGGTCTTTAACTACACAGACATCAATCATTTAACAATATAAAAGTGGTCAAGTAAAGTAGTATTACTGCTGAAAAATATACATATTCATGTATGTTGTTGGACTTCACTGTACAAAGTGTCAATGAAGATAAAGAGCAATGTGACTTTTGAACCACTGACACCAGAGGCAAACTTCAGAACCACATCCACCACCATATCACTGGAGAATATACTGTAGATTTGTAAAAGGCCCTATAGTGTTTGTTCGTATTTTGTAGAGGGAGCCGAGTGACTAATTCACACAAAGTTGTTAACGTGTTTGGAACCACCTCTTTGTTATAGGAACATTCATTGGTGTCTTTATCTCTTTTACTGTCATTACAAGTGTGAGTTTTTTTGCTCTCTATAATAATAAAAGACTATTTATTCTCTGTACATCAGGCTCTGGATAGTTCTGTGGGGACATATTCAGGAGAGTATTGCAGCGTGTTGTGATGTGGCATTCATAGCATTATCTCGAACACTATAGGAGCTGAAACCTCCTCCTTCCCAACTTTAGAAGCAGAAAACCAGCTAATACTTTCAAGTCTCCAAACTCCATCCACAAGTTTTAAGTTCAATTGGAGTGCATGCCGCTTTACTGCAAGCTGCCAAATTGTGAGACAGCAGATTGGCCAGATGGCTGAAGTGCACAATTAATCAAGATAATGCAGAATAAAATGGGAATGAATTTAACTGGTTGTGAAACAGTTGCATAATGGAATAAGAATGCTTTATATAAAGAGCCTCAGAAACAATGTCACCATCAGCGTCATCACTGATTATTAAGACTAATGAGACATAAAAGTGCCTGGTGTTTTTGTCACAGACGGTGACTGCACTAAATCTCAAGCTTTCATAACTCTGATAATTGACCATGCTGTCAATTAGACGGGATGTGCATATTTTGATAGGAGTTCAAAAATATTAAAAGTTCTGAGTCAAATATAATGTGATAATTCCCTCAAATTAACTTAATCTCTGGTTTTCTTAAATAGTAGAAGCAAGTCTATCATCTGGGGTTAAAATTGATTAGAAAGGAGATCAATGGAAATCTAAGAATGAAATACACCAAAAAAGCATGCAATACAGAGAATGTAGGGCATGTTCTCCTTCTGTGTAATAGGAAGTATGCTCTGATTTCTTATTTGTGTGGCCAACAAAGGCTGCCTCTCAACTTCGTTTGATGTTTTCTGAGTGAACTCCAATTCATGACGCAGAACCCACATTTGAGGTGGAACTGTTGGTACATTTACTCAATTAAGAGATTTCCAGTTTTATTTGTATTGAGACAGCAGACTGCTGAACTTACATTTTAATTAAAAAACGTAAGTGTCTACTTGCTAAGGGTGTGCGTGCCAGAAAGGCAAAAACATATCTGAGATAGGCCTACAATTACACTGAGCAAGTCATGAAGATTGAATTGTGGAATTTCTTCATCTTGGAAAATATTAAATGAGACTCAAAGATACCATAACAGTAGTCAGTCTGATCTAAGTGTGTGTTTGTGTGTAATAAGTAGAGTTATGCTTCCTGCACTGTCAGTAATCTATTCATTTATTAAAAGGGCCATGGAAATAAAAGTGAGGGAAACTGTCCATGACTGGGGAGTTTTAAGACAGCAGTTCATGGGCAGGGATATGCATTCAGATTTGACTTAAGGATATCAACCAGCCAGTAGGCCAAACATAAGGCTAGAGTATAGGTTAATGATAAAAAAAAGGTGTGTGTGTGTGTGTGTGTGTGTGTGTGTGTGTGTGTGTGTGTGTGTGTGTGTGTGTGTGTGTGTGTTGTGTGTGGTGTGTGGTGTGTGTGTGTGTGTGTGTGTGTGTGTGTGTGTGTGTGTGTTGATGTGTGTGTGTGTGTGTGTGTGTGTGTGTGTGTGTGTGTGTGTGTGTGTGTGTGTGTGTGTGTGTGTGTGTGTGTGTGTGTGTGTGTGTGTGTGTGTGTGTGTGTGTGTGTGTGTGTGTGTGTGTGTGTGTGTGTGTGTGTGTGTGTGTGTGTGTGTGGTGTGTGTGTGTGTGTGTGTGTACCTGGTGTCAGAAGTCTCTCAAGGCATTTTGGCTGGAAGAGGAAGCCTCTTATGTACTGTGTTGAAAGTGAATCCCTCTCTCTGATGTTTTTTTTATGTGTGTTTTGTGTTAAGGATGAAGATAGATGAACTACATTGGATTTGGATGACTCAAGCGAATCCGAGCACAATAGTGTTTGTCACACACACACAAAATATCTGATCCAAATCCGTTTTCCTCTAGGAAATATTAAAGAGTTTGGGGAATTTATAACAGCTGTCACTCACCACATTATACTCAGTTAATTAGAAACCTGTTTTCCCTGTGCAACTCATAATAATTACATCAGGGATCAGAGCACAACAGCAACACAGTAAACACAGAACGAAAACACAATTCACACATTCAGCCAGGTTGAGGTCCTGCAAGACCTGTGAATGTAGACAAATAACAGCGAAGTATTTGTTGGTATTTATGTTTTACATGTCTTATATTATCTCTTATCTCTTACATTGTGACATTTAGATTACAGTCTTGAGAACAGATGTACTGTATGTTCCCCAATCTCATCAACACTACTGATATACATAGCAAACCCCCCTGTGAGAAAGAACTGCTTAGCTGCCAGACTGTTGCATCTGAGATGACAGCAAGTGTTGTTGTAGTGTTTGCTGTTGTTGTTTCATGTCAGGCTAGCGATGTAAACTCAATCATACAGAGCCTAAGTGTTAAAGTTTCAAAGTGCAAGACTGTGTGGCACACACACAAAACACAAATATGCATTTAC